ACATTTAAGTCGTTTCTTTCTCTCTTATTTAAGTCGTCTCTGTCTCGGTTTCTCTCTCTCTCTCTTTCTCATTCTCTCTTTTTTTTTTCCTTTTTTTTGGCTTTTTTTTTTTTTTGACAACCATTCATGGAATTGGAAGAAAGTATTGTTGATGTATACAAATAAAACTTGCCTTAGTCGTTTGTTGGTATGCGATCTGATGTTCTACCTATTCATGGTTATGGAGATGATATTAACCCTTAGTTGCTAACATTTGTTAAATTCTGTTTTTCAATATTTTATGGTTTTTTGTGTTCATTCTTATACTGTTCTACTTATTCTCGAAAACCAACCAGGTGAGTATCCCTCAAAATATAGATATGAGATGTTCAAAAGCGGCTGAGATGAGTATCAAGTTTAAAACCAAAAAAATGGAGGCATAAATGTTTTGTGATGTTATAATGTTAATTTTATGAATAATTATAAAGGAAGAGTGCGAGGATCTGGGTCCTCGGCAGGCTTGAGGGGCCCCTGTCGCAAGAGCGCCCGCCCGAAGTGAAGGCGGGCCTAACAAATCACGAGAGGCCGTTTATTGTCAATTTTGCATTTGGGGGTCCAGGCAGTTTCGTCGCGGCAGTTGGTTGAAGGGAAACACAGGCTGAGCAGCGTGGCCCGCGGGTCCAGGCCTTCCAGGCCTTTCCAAAAGCTCAAGCCCTGGGCCAAATTCGCAGCCTCGTACACAGACAGTTGGGAGGCCCAACCGAATGAGGCCCAGTAGCTGCACCAGAGGCGCAACATCCTGGGGCCTATCAGAAGCTTATGGGCCCAGACCAGTCCATCCAGGTTGCCAAACGAAGCAGGCTCTTTACATATAGGAAAGAGCTCGTTGCCTGGCGAGGGCATTCAGGCACTTGCTGGCTGGCGGCAGCGCTGCTGGAGCGAAAGCTCGCGTGCTGGCTCCTGCGCACGTGCGGTCGTGTGGTGAAGCAGGGCGCTGCTGAGGGCAGCGCAATAGCCGAGCTCCATAGTTGGCTGTGGGCTTGGACATACAGTGAGGCGTAGGGGTGGTCTTCGGGTGTACAACAAAGGGAGACGTAGAGGAGAGTGAAGGGGGAGAGAAAAGGATGATGATGATGATGATGTGAGGGCACATACCTGGTATTGGCGATGGTTCTGCATGGGCGACATCTTCAAGTACTTCGGGTGCTGCTGACGTCAATAGCTGCATTGTTAATTCGTTGGCTAGTAGTAGCTGTGTAGGGAGTAGGCTGGGCGCCGAGCGCCAAGTAGGGAGATAGAGATTGGATACATATGTTGGTGGTGGTGAGAGCAAACTCTCATTGACATTAACTTTCAGTGCTACGATTCTCCATTGGTGTTATATTGGTGCAATGCTGCTTCCTGAACATTGTGTTACGATTTGGCTTTCAATAAGATTGTGCAATTTGAATATTGTCATCTCGCTTTTGTTCATTTTCCTTGCAAGAGTTTTGATAGTAAATTAAAAAAACAACAGTAAACTTAGGCCGTTTTTCAGTAAACGGTATCGATGGAAAGCAAAACATGCTCTAGAATATTCAAGGTACGTATGATTGGTCTACATGGGGCGCTGAAAATACTCAGGCGCTTATGTAAAGCAAATTAAGTGTAAATGGGAGGGGGGTCACACTATGTATTTCGAATGAATATTGGAGAAGGAACCAATTCGATAAGAATGAATAAAGCTCGCAATAAATGTAGGTTTTTTCCCAAGGCACCCGTGCTATCCCGAATGACCTCCTCTCGTCTAGACCCGTTCCAAAAAGTCATGTTCTCTACCCCTCTCACCAAAGTCGCCCAAGGAAAAGAGGAGAAGAAAGGTGAGGCGATCAACGGTTTGCCCGACCTCGATCGCTAAGAATGGTTCTTCTTGGATCCATGACCTTCAAGGCTGGCTGGGGAGAGGTGCGGCACGCCGCATAGACCCATTTATGGGGGTGGTGCAGTGTTGTTGCGGTGGAACCAACGCCTACTTCTGAGATCTGGGCCTCATGCTCAGGCGAGGAGAATGGGTATTACAAATTACTTCCTAGCGATCGGGGCTCGAAAAGGTCGGGGAAGATATTTTACCTTCTTCAAATCTTTTGTGGACGGATGATTGACTTAGGATACCCAAGGCTGATCGCAAGTAGGAGCCGCCTCGATTAATGTGGATTGGAGCCATTTTTTTTTTTGATCCAATGACAAGTTTATCGAAACAGGAAAGTGAGCCCTGCCAGAGAATGAGGTATGTATGACTCTATCGCATGGGACCTTGAAAAAACTAAGGGGCGTATAGGATTACAAATCAAACATAATAATCGAATGAGGCATAGCAACAAAATAGGAGGCGTCTTAATTAACCTAAATACGATTCCAAAGAAGTTCAGGTCCCAATTAAATGTTTGTGCAAACATGAAAGTGGACCAATACATTTATATTTGCACGAAGAAAGAAAATCGTATATTAATTAACATTAATTAACCTTAATGAACGCGCTAAAAATAAAATTAAATGAACTCGTTTCTTATTTTCTTTGATCTTCTGTGCTTCGCATTTCAGTTGTGTTCTATGTGTTGCACTACGTGTTCTTTGTTTTTCGTGTTTTTCTCTCTTTTTCATTTGACACTATATTACTCTTCTTTATATAAATACATTTATATATGGATGTTTTGAGCTGTGTTGTTTTCGTTCCGATTGTTTATGTGCATCTTATTCCTCCTATTCGTCGTGATGTGCCTAGGCACAAATACGTATGTATGTGCCCATTAATATGGTAGAGGACAAAGGTCCACATGACGATTCAACCAATAGTAATTTATCCACCGTTCCAACCTTCTCTTCACCTGCGGATAGGTCCTTGCATGTTTCGTGGAAGCGTCGTAAACGCCTTCGCCGTTGTGAAGTCGGTTTATCTTCGTTAGATTGCCCTTCTTCCTTATCCAACCATGGATTGGAATTGCGTATACGGTCGAATGTTACTCTCGATTGCTTTGCGAGTGAGACACCGATGTCATCACAACACGAACACCACAAACCCGGACCACCACTTTCCCGAAGTGGTCGAACCCGAAGGTCTTCACAATAGGCGGTAGGTGCTGCAAGTGAGGGGATTGCTCACAGGAGAGATAAAAGACCGATGATGACTCAAGATGATGGTCCTGATTGTTCTCCTGAAGAACAATGTAGTGATAAGTTTGTATCTTTTCAACAAACTATTCCATCGATGAATGAATTCACAAGCCTTGTACTTTTCGAAAGCACGAATAATGTTTGTGCGGATTGCATTAGTTGTCATGAAAATCTTTCTATGACCTTTCAAAGTGAACATCCGTTTGAAATTCGTACGGATGTTGCAATAAATGCAGATTCCGTTTTGATGGTTGAAATATCGGTTTTACTTGATGATTTTCCTTTGCATTCGGCACATGTGCACAATCGTTCATCATCGACATTGGCTACTGATGTCCGACAAAAATGTGTGGAGAGCAACCTTTTTTCCACTTTTGAAAAATGTTAATGCACATCCATCTTTTGCTGCCACGACCCAATCGAATTCGCCAAACACATTGATTAAAAAGTTTATTGGATCTCATAATCGACGGAGAATATTATTATTATGGAAATTGATTCGTTCAAGGCGCAACAGACGATACTGTATGTTGTTGATTCGACGACTGCATGCCGATGAAGTCGTGCGTCGTTTGGAACTTGGATCGTTGCCGGCGATGCCTTAATGTGTGTCATTGGGCTATGATGGAAGTGCATTAGTTGTCAAAGTACTGTAGAGGCTGGTGGAGGAACGAAACAAGTCGATGGAATGAATGTGAATGAACCATGTTCGACGCCACGTAAGATTTCAAAATGAAGGAAAAGTTTGGCAAGATGACCAAACTTTCATGTTAAACGCATGCGTGCATTGAGAGTTGCGGTTAAGAATCATAGGAGGATAGAAGATGTGCGTGCTCATAAAGATTTTGTGCGGGTTGCGAGCGAAGTTTGTTCGATGTGTATATCCTTCGAGAGATTAGAGCGAGCGGCTCTACGCAATCGACAAGTGCATCTTCTACTGCGAGACAATTGCGGAGTCGATCTTCTCGGGCGAGGCAGTCGTAAAGCCTTTCATCACGAGCGAGACAGTTGCAGAATCCATCCGTGAGAAATCGAAAATCAATGAATAATCGTGAAGACAGTGAGCCAAATAGTCGTGAGGAAGAAATAAATGATTCGCATGATGTTCCGACTCCTGATCTGAATGCACTCCCATAGGCACCTGTGGCAACAACGTATGTAGCTATTGAGAACATCGTAGCGATTCTGGTGAATGCTAGCACTGTTGAATCGGTCGACATCGGCATTCGAGATCCGTGTAAGCATTGTGGTGCTAAATTGTGGCATCATGAAAGTAAATGGACAAAGATGTGTTTCCAAAAAGGTACAAAACGTTGTCCTTTGTGAAGGTTCCCCGGAGTATGAGATTCTTTCCCTTTGGACGCCTTAAACTTTCGACGGTCGGTTCCTTCGAAACAATGCGAGGATAATTAATAATAGTTTATCCCTAGCATCCTCGCGGTTGAAGCAGCCGAGCGATGGTGTTCGAGGATTCCAGGGCCAACTTAGGGCTCAAGGTCCAATCTTTCATCATGTCGGTGCATTGGTTGTGGGGGAAGGGGAACGTTTTCATTTTGCACAACTATACTTGCACGATCCTCAACGTTTGGACGATGCGATTGATCAAAGGGTAGATTTCCTTAACTTACCTGCACGTACATCTGATGTCGAACTTGATCGAGCGACACGCATATTGAGAAGGTTTCACAAATTGCTACAAGAATGTAACAATTACGTGAAGAACTTTATGCCGGTTGCTGACCTTCCGCCGGAAGCGTTGAACGGGAGGAAGTTGGTGATAAATTCGGATGCCATGCCTGATGAGGAATATGCAAGGCGTTATAACCGTCCCATGGGCTTACATGAGGTGTGTTCTGATGGCCAATGAACTCCTTCGTCGTGAGCTCGAGAATCGTTTGCGTGCTCCTCTTCCGGGTGAGCAGCAGACCGTTGTGGTTTCAGAATGTTCTGGAGTGCACGACTGCTTAAGGTTTGTTTTACTTTTCTTGAAGGGAGTTCATAGTTGATCTGTCCGACGTGCCTCGAAAGCTGGATGGCTGCCAGGACGTAGTGCCAAGGAGTACTATGCATTTTACCTTCACGAGCGTGATGGTGAAAGACCTTGCCTCCTTTATGCAGCACGTCTCTTTTACGAGTTTTGTTGCATGGCTTACGCTAAAGTTGAATCCTTCCCCTTAAAATGGGTGAGATTCCACCAAAAAGAATTGCGCTCGGAATATTATCAAGATTTACGAGACGCTATGCAACAAAATCGACATGGTGAGGGTGTGGGGACAAAAGTGGTTTTACCGTCAACGTTCACTAGGGGGCCCCAATATATGAGTGAAAGATATCACGACAACATGACAATTGTGAGGCGATTCGGAAAGCCAAATTTTTTCATTACTATGACGTGCAACACTAACTGGTCGGAGATCAAACAAGACCTTTTGCCAGGTCAATGTCCTTACGACAAGTGGAATTTTTTTGCGCGAGTGTTCGAAGGTTATTTTGCACAACCGATTGATGAGATAAAGAACAAACGGATCTTTGGTAGGGTGAGTGGAATGTTGTATGTGGTGGAGTTTTAAAAAAGGGGTCTACCACACACACATATATTGATTATCCTGCATCCGAATGATAAAATTCGGGATGCGGATATTGTTGATAATGTGGTGTGTGTCGAGATTCCTCCGGAAGCGGAATTAAGAGAAAGGGTAGCCAAGTTCATGTTGCAGGGGATTTGCGGTGCGGGGAAACGCGACGCTTCGTGTACGTAGGACGGAGAATGCACAAAAGGGTTTTCGAAAGATTTCATTTCAACAACAACATTCAAAGACGAACATACGTACCCTTCGTATATGAGAAGGAAACCAAGTGACGGTGGTTTTACATTGTTCAAAATGATGTCATTTACGACGATCGACGTGTGGTCACGTATAACCCGTACTTGCTAATGAGGTTTAATTGTCACTTGAATGTTGAATATTGTGCTAACATCAAGGTGTGCAAGTACGTGTATAAGTATGTGTACAAAGGGTGTGATTGTGCTATGGTTTGCGAACAAGATAATAATGCCCCCATCGACGAGGTCAAATTGTATCAAGATATGTATGTAGTAGGTGCATGCAAAGGATGCTGGCGTCAATTTGAGTTCGACGTTGCAGAACCATGGCCCGCGGTCGAATGATTGCTCGTGCATCTCGAAAACATGAAAAAAATGCGATTCAAACTTGAGACTGAGCAGGACATTGTTTGAAATGGCCCCCGAGAACGAAATTGATGGTATGCATGGAACGTAACTCTTTGAACGAATGTGTTCTTAAAGAGGAGCTTCCTCTTTACGCAGAAATCGTTAGTACTCATGTGTGGGATAACAACATAAGAAGTGAAACAAAAGAAAGCGTGACCTTCACGGGGATCCCTTCGAAAAGATATCTTGACTGCATCACATGAGGATCACGAAAGGGGAACGATTCTATTTGCTGAACCATGAACATTCTCGTGGGGTGCGCTCTTTTGCCGAAATGCGTATGGTGGATGAAATCGAATACGATTCGTTTTGATCCGTGTGTCTTCGATTGGGCCTTTTGCAAACAGACGATGCATACGATCAATGCATAGACACAGCCGCTGCGCATTACAAACCTGAAGAAGTTCGTAAAATATTTGTTATGGTTCTTGCGTTTGGTACCGTGAACGATCCGATTCGTTTCTTGGAACGACGTTGGGATAAGTTGGGTGACGATTTCCAGTATCGGGCAGGTAATGAAATTGTTTCCCTCGAACATTTTGCAATCGCTAGTGTTATTCCATCTTGACCGTATTTTGCAAGAGTTTGGAAAGAGCATCCGTCAGTTCTGCCTTTATTATCCAACACCCGAGGGAGAAACAATTGTTGAGAACATAACCAAACATTATGAGAACAGAACAGCGTCCTCGATTTTAAACGACGAGTTGTCGTATAATCAGTTTCAAATGCAACGCAAATATGACTTTAATTTTCGACGTCTTCGTTTTCGTCAACGAGTGTTGGTGCAAGAGAAAAGACCGTTGCCTGCTTTTGTAGATGGACCGGCTGTAACAGGAAATACTTTTTGAATTAAAACGATTTTGGCGAGCATCAGGTCACGTTTTGCCATTGCACTGGCCGTCGCGTTTAGTGGTGTAGCGACGACTTTTTTTACGGGGGTCGAACGTTTCACTCAGGATTTCGCGCACCTTAAAAAACTGATAACACTCGTCCCTTCTTCATTCCGAAACAAAGTGATCTTGCGGAGCTTATCCGTTGTGCCGACTTGATTGTTTGGGATGAGGTTTAGATGAGTAACAAGTTTCACTTGGAAGCTCTTGATATTACGGTTTGGGGCCTCTGTAACAATGACGAGTCGTTTGGTGGGAAAGTTCTACTTCTAGCTGGGGATTTTAGACAAGTTTTGCCCGTTGTGAAACACGGATCGCGAACGCAACAAATTGATGCGTCCATAAAAATGTTTCCTTTGTGGAAACGTTTCGAGGTTCATCAACTGATTGAAAATATGCGAATCTTAAGCTTAGGGAATGATTAAATGACACGAATGTATGCCCACTTTTTGATGCGCATTGGGAATGGTGACCATCCTCGTGTTATTCCTAATGAACCTGCTCTGGTCAGATTGCCACGTGAGATTTGTACGGATAAATGAATTGATGAGTTGGTTTCAATAACGTTTGATGATGTGTCCAACCATGTGGGGAATGCCGAGTATTTCTTGCCTCGATTAATTCTATGCTATAATAATGACGATGCTGGTTCTGTTAACAATTGTGTTCTTGACGACTTCCCTAGGGAGGTGCGTGACCTTTTGAGCGTTGATTATCCTGATTCGGATGATATCGGGCTTGGTATTGAGCGGGAGTTCTTGAACTCTCTCGACGAAGTTAGCCTTCCACCTCACAAGCGGCGCTTAAAAATTGGTGTGCTTGTGATGCTTTTGCTACTGAAGAAGATCGTTAATGATGATTTGTTGGAAGTGACAATAATGCGCACGGGTAAAATAGCGCCGATCCCCAAGATTGATCTGACCAGCGATGGTGAGACAACTGGGTTCTAATGGTTTAGGAGGCAATGTCCAGTCCGTCTTGCTTTTGCTGTAACGCTTAACAAGTCACAAGGATAAACCGTATTGCTTTCCGGGGTTTGGCTACGCAAACTCGTTTTTGCGCATGACCAACTGTACGTTGCTTTATCGTGTGTTGGTCATCCCAACAACATCCGTGTTGCGTTGCTTGATAATAATTTTTTAACGAAGAATATTGTATATCATGAGTTTTTGGGATGAGTCTTTTTTTTTTTTTTTTTCATCGAGCCTTGGCATTCAAAATAATTTTGTCATATTCTTTCTTTGCAGGTGACTTTCGAATGCTGCATAAGTATGACACTCAAGCTAAGAGGAAAGCAATGGGAAACAACAATATCACTCAATATGATACGAATGTTACGTCAAAAGCTGGAACCGAATGGAGAGGTCGAAGAAAAGTGGAAATGATGAGAGGTCGGTTAATTTTGGAAGTGAACATCCTCGGGACGATCATCCTGTTCTTGGTGAGGTTGAACGTCGATGTTCGCAAGGGAATACCCTTAATGATGCTGAGAACATGNTTGGAAGTGAACATCCTCGGGACGATCATCCTGTTCTTGGTGAGGTTGAACGTCGATGTTCGCAAGGGAATACCCTTAATGATGCTGAGAACATGGTTGTGGAGAGGGGTGGAGATGATTGTCGTGTCGATGGGGATGGTTTGCGTAGAGGTCAGTCGGGTAGGCCTATTAACCTTACATTTGTCGATGATGGGGATGAAAACGTTACGGATGATTCAAACGAAGATTGTGTTGAATCTACATTCAAGAGGAGAAACAGTCGTGGTGCGAAAACTAAACTTTTGGATTCCCTCGAAGTGCCTGAGCCTACCTTGGATCTTAATTAGGTGGGATGACAACCTGTTGTTGATGAAACGGGGACTTGGATTATGAGAGCGCTGAATGCGCTCCCTGATGATGCACTTTCATCTGTTTCGTTTTGTGCATTGCTCGGTGGACGTGCACGTGTTCATGATTCGTGTTCGCAATCTCAACGCAGTGGACGTGAAAGAGATGTTTGCGCCACATCGCAACCACAAAATCCTCCGGGGGTTATTGTGGTGCCCGATGATAACGATGCACCCACAATCTGCACTACGAATCTGCGCGCTTACCTTGCTAGATGGTTAGAGGATGCGAAGAAGGTTGGTGCGTTTTGAAATGTTTGTCTAAAGTGCCTTAATCATAAAAGATGGACGAATATGGGACAACTTCCTGGAGTGGAAAAGAAACAAACTCACTGGTATACGGTTGGAACGACGATTCCATCTTCCAGACTCGTTGAATGTTTCGGATTTGGAGGCTTCTTCCATATTGCAATCAGTTTTGACTGATGATTTCGTGACTCTCTCTAATGAGGAGATTACTAGGATGACATTAGATTTGCCACATTGTTCGACAAAAGGGACTATTCCCCAATCCTTTCACAGATATGCAGGATTTGGCAGCTTCTCAAAAGGATTCCTCCCGTGGTTGCTTCTTCCATTCCTCGTTCCGCTCCGGTTCGTAGACTCCCCCTTCAAGCAGCATTTCCTCCAAATTTTGAACGTCTTGCGGGTTATGCTTCACCCTCCAATATGTCAACGTCGATTGTCACTACTTCTGTTGTTGTTTTTGCTTTGTCGGCAGCTACGACTACTCCGTCTCTTGTCAGTTGTGTTGTGCCCGCTCATACGCCATCAAGAGACCATCTGCACGTCCATCCAGGACCATTGCAAGAACCAAATTCTTCTAATTTTAACATTACCATCTATGACGCTGTTGAATCTATTGGTCAGAAAAAGACACTTGCGCACCTGTCCTATCTTGACAGTTCTCATAGGGTGCAAGATATTGTGGAAGCAGCAACGAAATTGAATACGAGTATGAACATTTGGAGATGTGTGGATGCTGTAATTCATCTCGATTACAATCGGCAAAGACAGGCTCGATTCGAAACTTTCGAGGAGTATCGTCGCAAATTGTTGCAACGAGTTTCTGTTCGTGAGCTTTGCAAGACTATCGTTCCAGTGAAGGAAGTTGATTGGTCTTATGAGAGAGATAGGAAGACAAAGATGTTGATTGGGCGGTTGTCCAGACGTTGCCTTAATGGCAAATTTTTAGATGGTCGTCTTCGGTTTCAGTTACGTAATTGCCCCTACAAGAGAGATGGGAAGGGAAAAACGAATAAATAAGGGGAGAGAGAGAGAGAGAGAGAGAGAGATATTGATTCCACTACGCAATAATTGTGCCTTGATCATACTGCGGCCACTTGCTTGCTATAATGAAACGAAAAATCTTTATATCAAACATTTTTTCTTTTATACTCGTGTTCGTTTTTTTTATTCTTTTGCTCTTTGGTTGCTCCTCTCTCTCTCTCTCTCTCTCTCTCTCTCTTAATATCTCTCTCTCCCTCTTAATCTCTCTCTCTCTCTCTATATATCTTTTTTTTCTTTTTTCTTTCTTTGTCTATCTTTGTCTCTCCTCGCCCTTTCTCTTACTTTTTTTTTTTTTTTTCCTATTTGTCATTTTTTTCATTCGTGAATTAAACTCGGACTTCGTAGCCCGTTACTCTTATTTCTGCGGGTGTGGCCCGCACCGTCCGCTTCGCGGGCGCTTAGCTAGTATATATATATATATATATATATATATATATATATATATACGGTGAATGAGTCGGTGAAACTCCGACGAAACAGTTTGTCACAGCCCCTCGTTTGTTGTCCTCTTTTCCCTCTCTGCCTACGGTTTACCGGGCAGTTCTATTTGACGATATATATATATATACGGTGTACTGGGCAACTCTGTTTGACGATATATATGTTTGATGATGTATATGTTTTGTACGTTCTATATTTCAGTTTAGACTCTTTAGAATATATGTTGCACACTCAGCTTTCATTCGTCATTTCACGTCACTCCACGATAGTTTTTTGTTTCTGTTGGCCCACCAGGCCTCCCCCTCCTGGTGCTCTATTTGACGTTGGCCGAACGAACGGCCCAGGGTCAGTACTCGCATGTGAAAAGCAGTGAACAGTAACGACCTGTTGGACTCGTGGCTTAAGCACTACGTGTGTCGACAGCGGCTAGGTCACACACAGTTAACCACACACACACGAGAAGCCCGACCATGCTGTATGCCCAGAGGATATAGTATTGCGGCTGTCCTTAAACCACCAGTACCCCGCCCAGGCAAAAAAATATGATCTTCTAAATTCATGGAAGGTTTGTGCAGGCCTGGTGGAGGCTTGGTAGAGCCTCGGACAGGCTCTGCAGGCCTGGTGGAGGCTTGGTAGAGCCTCGGACAGGCGTTGGTGGTCGACCATTTTGAAAACAAAAACGAGCGACCAGATCATCACAAAAAAAAACAGAAATGGCAAAAAAAAAAAAAAACAGGGAAAAGAGAAAAAGAAAAACGAACCGCCTTTCAACAAGGCACGGATGATAGCGTCAAGTTCGTAACTGTGGCCACCCAACACTCACACAGGTAACTCAAGAAATGGGGGCTCGCTCCACTACTCTTGACAAGACAAAAATCATGGCGGTGTATCTTTCCATGTTCCACGAAAAAAACACTCTGGTTTTGCGGATTCGAGAGCAGTGGTGCGAAGCCCATGCTAAAAAAAAAATTAAAAAAAAAATTAAAAAAAATGGAAAGATACGGCGGCACATTTTTTGTCGTTTGTGCATGTGGTGAGTGGCAACACTGTTGTTCCCTTGTGGACAACGGGAATGAATCTTGACATATTTGGTGAGTGACAACATTCCTGTTCCCTTATGGACAACGAGAATGAATCTTGACCTATTTTGCCGAAGATATAGAGAAGGTTAGCATGGCCTTGGGGCAACTATGAAACGCATAAATAAAGAAATGGTAAGGAGAAAAAAAAAGATTGAACGTTTTTTGTCGTTTGTGCATTTGGTGCTTGTTATAGCAAGGCCCCTCGTCCTCCACGATCTGCCTGGAGCACTGCTGTCCCCTTGTGGACAACGGGAATGAATCTTGACCTATTTTGCGGATGATACAGAGAAGGTTAGTATGGCCTTGGGGCAACTATGAAATGCATAAATAGAGAAATGGTCAGACAAAAAAAAAAAAAGATTCGATGGTTTTTGTCGTTTGTGCATCTGGTGCTTGGTATAGCAACGCCCCTCGTCCTTCTTGATCTGCATGGGGACGTGCTGAACTTCAGTCCCAATAAGAATGAATCTTCTATTAGTCCTTGGAGAGGTACAAAAAATATTAGCAAGGCCTTGCACATCCTCATCTACTGGCAGCCCGACACCCACGGCGCTGAGGCTCTGGCAGCGTTGGCCGCACAATGGGGAAAAGAGAAAACGTGCAGGGGAAAAAGAAGGACGAAGGGGTAAAAATGGAAAGCACCACCCTAGAAGTATCAGTTCCCCGCATTGAAGGATCGGTAGCCTGCTATATCTCGACTGGTCACCAACTACTTTCACCTACAACAAACAGGTTCGGCAGCTTGCCAGAAAAAGGTTTGAGAAGGTGGCTCGGAAGGTACTGGTGGTTTAAAGCACCAGTACATGGCCCCAGCCAAGTTGAGAGTCCAATTGAGCCTCTCCTAAAAATGAGGAGGCTTGCGCACCGTCGATAAAATAGATCGACGGTGGGCAGCCTCCGAAAGGTGCCCGCGGCCGATGGCTGGCACGGACTTGAAAGGCATTACACGATGCAAACCCCAAATTCGAATTTCAGGGTAAAGGGAGGCCAAGTCGGCCAGTTCATAAAGGTCACAGTTGGGTACCTTAGGAATCAAGTACAACAGGCACCCGATGAACAGTCTCATCCCAGAGGGAAAGTTTGCGTTCTATAAGCAAAAGTCACGTCTCATATTGAAAACTCATATCCCACAGGCGAAGGACACTTCTCCCCTGGCAAAACTTGTCTCAGGGGCAAGGGTTACATTCCACAATCAAAAGTCATGTGCCATAGGTGCGAAGTCGTGACTCACAGACTCGAGCAGCAACGCACCAATGAAAATTCGGGAAAGTACCAGGCCGTGACATTCTGAAGTCAATATAAGGACTGGCGAGCCACATTTGAGCGGAGAATGCTCATTCGTGAGAAGTGTAGAGGTGCTGCTGAAGCGCTTGTGCGCTATGTACAAGTGGCATGGGCGAAAGCACTGCTGGGCAGTGCCGTCCTGAGAGGGAAGGCTGCCATAGCCGCATAGCTAGTAGGAGAAGACGTAGCTGATTAGTAGCGGATGTATTCATAGTTAAGATTCTCCAAGGAGAGAGAGAGAGAGAGAGAGAGAGAGAGAGAGAGAGAGAGAGAGAGAGAGTCACCTACCTTAGATGAAGATTCTGGTATTGGGTTGCTGAACTCTGCGCTGTTTAGCGCTTGGTGTTGGAACTCCGAAACTATTTAATATGATAAGTTATTGGAAATTTCTAAGTTGCGCATATATGGACTCCAGTTTGGTTCTCGTGTGACCTCTTAATGTGTGTGTGTGCTCAAGGTGTCCAGCAGTGAGGCTCAATGGAATTGGTATCAGAGCAAGTACTTCCTGCATCCGCCGGTGATGAACGATGGCAGGATTAAGGTTGGCGAGGGTAGATTTGGATTTTGACATTGGGGCTGAGGGCCGAAGAAGAAGTGGCCAGGTTGGGGGATGATGATTACTTTATCGACATGCAAGGAGTGTTGAGGATCTTCATCAAAGGAATGG